ATCGCCATTCGACTGTTTGGAGAAAATTTACATATCTTAAACAAATACTATATTTTGAAATTAACTACAAAGAAGTCGGTTAATTATTTGGCGATTTGGCGATTCGGCAGAATTCCTCGTTATATCATATTTTCATGCTAATTCTGGGCAGTTTCCACGTGAGAAGAGAATATGCATCTCTATTTTCTGCATTTTGTTAGTCTATTGAAAACTTCAAACGCGTCCTCTGAAACATTTGCGGATTTTAGTGTCATACAAATTTGCGTCCTAGCCAAAATCGAGTTCTTTTCATAACTCTTTCATTTGTATCCCGCTTTCAAAATGTTTTTCTCATGGAACGTAGGCAAGGAAATTTTGAGTACTACAAGAAAATGTTCCTTTGAGTAAACTCAATTTTTCTCAATGGCCATAAACTCAAAATTCAATGTAATATCTTTAAAATGGTTCACGTAAGGTTCAATGGTAAAAAAAAAAAAAAATCACGAAATACACCCGAAAAAAAGAACTTGTCTATTTTTCAACCGATTAAACATCAAAGCGCACACCAACGCAATCGGAGGAGAAGCTCGGCCAAACACTAACATATGTGTAAGCGCCAATCTATTATATTATATTATGTACATAAACAAAAAATTTGAATCATCTTGAAACGGATGCTTTGCTAAATTCTATGGTTTTACCCGAAACTGTGCGTTGACACATCATTTCGTAGCTGTGCATTCAGAATCTGAATTTGTATTGATTCCGCGCCGCAGTGTTGGCGTTACGTTTGGGTGAATTAGATTTGTGTGATTAACACGAGTATACATATGTACATGCTCGGTAGGAATTAGGAGCACGTAACAATACCTTACCAGCAACTTATACTTCACCCGGTGGTGGCCGAATTCATCTTACTCTAATAAATGTATGACCGCCTTATGTTCATAAGTAGGAATTTAGAAGGACATTTGGTATCAGACATTCTTCTAAGCTGCTTTACCAAATAAAACTCGAAGAATACGAAGAGCAAATACGGCGATTGTATTTTTATGAGAAGTTGTTTTTCATGGCAGAAATCCTGGCACTCGGAGGTTTGCTATTGCCTGCCGAGGGGCGATCGCTCTTAAGAAGCAACCTTTTTTCTATATTTTTTGTTTGCGATGTTGCTTTGACCAGGGCCGGCGCGCACTGCTAACCTCTGCACCACAGTATCTTCTGCGACACATTATTTTACAACTTACTTAGTAACATGTAATCGGCGGTGTTAATTTTGTGCATTACTAATAGATAACAATATTTAGTCATGATAACAATGTTGGTACTAAATAAAAGCTGAAACAAAACATAGATTGACTCGTAAGGTGCTTACCTATTTTCCAACTGGGTCTTGATTCGAGTGACTCAGCATGTGGTAATATTAATCGGCACACACAAAAACACATACTATGTATATTAGGGTGGGTCAAAAAAAAAATCAAGTTTTCTGTTTTTGGATCCGACACACGAAAACTAGTTCCTAGGCACCTCTTGAAAGTACTTACCAAATCTGAGCTCTTAAAATCAGTAGGCATTGGGATTATACTGCGAATATCTTCTAAATGGTTAGAGTTATCGATTAGCCACCTGAGACCTTTTTTGTAGAGCGTTCAATTTCCTATAGAAATAATTGAAACTCATTTGACAATAATTAGTTTTTAGTAAGTTACAAAATTCAAAACAAAAAGTTATTTTCCTTAAAATACTTCAATCTTTGACCTTGAATATCTGCTAAATGGTTGGAGTAATCGATTAACCACAAGAGACCATTCTTGTAGAGCGTTCAATTTCCTATAAATATTGACAATGGAACTGGTTTAACGATATATTGGTGATAAGATATGATCATTTTTATATAAGACTAAATCGAAAATGGAAAACTATGATGAGGATAATCTTCCCGTTAATATTGAGAGCTCAGATTTGGTAAGTACTTTCTAGAGGTACCCAGAAACTAGTTTTCGTGTGTCGGATCCAAAAAAAAACACTTGATTTTTTTTGACCCACCCTAATGTATATACATGCATCTGTATGTATATGAACATATGTATGTATGCAGGAGAAGATATACGATTGAAATTTTATCCACTCGATTTTATCAGCTTTATAAAAAATTAAAATTAATCAAAAACTATGAACATTGGACCGCAAGTGGGACTTTTCTTAAATTTTTAAATTTAATATTTTTTGATAGTAAATAATTTCTTATCAATATATTTTTAGTTTTTCATGAAAGTAATCACGATTTCACTTTTACTAGAAACTGCGTCTTAAGGCCGGAATGCCCGATTGGTACATTTGTATAGATTTAATTTATGTACATACCTCTGGAATGTCCGGACCCTTAAAGCGGAAGGTGCCTCTTCCCGTCTGGTTGATGTCCTCGTAAGAACAAAAGCTGACATCACCGCCATCGAAGAAATGCATTGCGTGCCTTGCGACGTGTAATACAGCTGCCATGTAAAGGAGCGAAAATTCGGTGTTGGATTTGTGGTGGGAGAGAGACTCTGTCGCCGAGTACTGTCGTTCACCTCGGTGGACGAGCGTCTAGCCATAATCCGCATCAAAGCGATATTCTTCAACATCTCGCTCATCTGCGCCCATGGCCCGACGGAAGAGAGGGATGAGGTATCCAAGGATTTCTTCTATGAGCGCTTGGAGCGCACGTACGAGCTCCGCCCCCGCCACGATATCAAAATCGTGCTTGGCGACTTCAATGCCAGGGTGGGCAAGAAAGGGATCTTTGGAACCACCGTCGGAAAATTCAAGCTCCACGTCCGACCACGGACTGAAGCAGTTCGATTTCGCCGGGGCCCGAAACATGGTAGCATAAAAAGATACATAAAGCTACGTGGCTGTGTCTGGATCGAAAAACGAGATAGACGTAGGGCATGCTTCCAGTGTTTTGGACGTATGTACACTCCGAGGCCCAAACATCGACTCGAACCACTATCTTGTTGGAGCCAAGATACGAACCCGCCTCTGTGAAGCAAAGAATGTGCGCCCAAATTGCAAGAAAAACTTAACGTCGAAAAGCTGCAATCACAATAGACAGCCACACCTGCTCTCAGAGAGCACTCTTCAACATACCGACATACGCGACCAGTGGAACCGCATTTCCCGCTCTTTAAGTACCGCCGCCGAATAAGTAATCGGATTTCAGCGAGCTCGAAAGAACAACTGGTACAACGAGGAGTGTCAGGAAGCTGCAGAGAAAACATATGCCGCCTACAGGGCCGCGCTGAAATCAGGCGCAACGCACGCTATGTGCGACGAATAGTATTAACACGGCTGAAAAACAACAAAGCTGCTGGAGCTGACGGCCTGCCAGCAGAGCTATTCAAGTACAGTGGCGAGAAGTTGATAATGACATGCATCAACTTTTATGCAGGATATGGTCTGATAAACGCATGCCCGACGACTGCTCTGCCCAATCCACAAGAA